CATCCATAGTTTGTCTTTTCATCTTCTGGATGATATCTCTGAAGGTAGAGAAGTTCTAAATTTTCACATCCAGGAGTCCTGTTTGCTTTTCTTTTGTCAGTTTGAAAACTCACAAAACCCAAGGTCCCAAAAGTGTACACACATTTTTTTAAGAGTTTTGTAGTTTTACTTCTTAAGTTTCGGTTTTTGATCTACTTAGAGATAATTTGTTATATGGTATAAAATAGGGATCCAACTTCAGTTGCACATGGTTATCAAGTCATTCGGGCACCATGGCTGAGAACAGTACAGACACTCTTTGTCCACTGAATTTTCTTGCTACTTGTTACGGTTTGAGAACTGGTGGTCAACTTAACGCCAGCTGGATTACATCAGCATGCATTGAGAGAAGATGCTCCACCTGAGGAGGGTTGCCAGGATAAATAGGTGGAGAAGAAGGGAGGTGTTGAGAGGGTTGAGGCCTTAAGGAGGCATTGTGGGTTCTCCTACGAGTTGCTGTCTGAGCTGTTGATTCTCCCGGAGAAGCTTTGGTCCTCACATTGAGCATTGCTTCCTGGCTCTGGAGGGGAAGACATGTGCTGCTTGGTCTCCAGGATGAACTCCTCATGCTGCTTCCTGGCACGTACTTGACAGTGCTTGTCTTGGGAGGAGCTCGGGGGGCCTCCATGTCGCTGAGGACGGCTGTGGTGCCTTTCAGGATAGCCCTGGTCTTTGTTGTGAGTGTGACTTCTTGGCCCCAGCGTAGAACCATCATCCCACTAGCACAGCTCTTTCATCCTGCTGGCATAGACTTTCTGGCTTCCACCGCTGACCCTTGGGTCTTCCCGGCATGGATGTGTAAAAGAGACTGGCGTGGCTCCTTCTTGTGGACTCTGGACCTCCAGTTGGACTCGTGGGAGGCATTGTCCTGAGCTCTGGGTTTTTATCTGGATCATGTGGGACATTGCCGTGGGGTGTAGGCTCTTGACTAAATAATCTATGTCTTTGGTGTTGGGGATAGATTTCCTGCATTTTCCTGTGTTTACCTCCAGTGACCATTATAAAAATATTATAAACTCCATGTCCTAATCCTAGTTGTTCTGTGGGTACAACCCCTGACTACAATACTACCCCTCATAAAAACCTACTGACCATAAAAGAGACAGTATTTCATGACTTTTAAATCTCTTCTCTTGATCATTACATCCATCCTTGGCCAGTTCCACACTGTTTTAATTACTGTACTTCTGTGGAAAGTTTTGAAATCAGGAAAGCGAGTTTTCTACATTTCTCTTTCTTCTAGAAAATTTTAATACTCATCTCTTTATCTCGTTTTTCTGAAATTTCAGTGCAAAGTCTTTTGATGAGCACCTTTTGAATTCATTGTTTAGGATACTAAACAGGGGTGAGAAATTTATTTTCAGTCTGCTTTACAAGATTCAATTTTGAACTGTTACAATTTTAAATTTGGATTATGAAATCTTTAATGTGCAAAAGCACTGCCTTATTCTTTGCATGCTCCTTTTTATAGTATCATGATTATGTGTTGTGAATGTGATATCACCATGAAGAATTACAGAATGTTGTCACTAGTTTTATTGAGATTTATGTTCCATAAACTGTAGTTAGTGTATAATTCAGAGCCTTGAAAGTTGTGTACACTTTTGAAGTACATGATAATCACAAAGTACAGATCATTTTCATTTTCCCTTAAAGATTTCTTTTACTACCTTGTAATTTATTCCTCCCACTGTCCCAGCCCCAGGTGACTACCTGTTTGGTTTCTTTTACCATAGATTTATTTATATTTTCTTGAATTTTATGTAAGTATACTTACTGCAGTGTTTGTTTTTTGTGTTTGGCTTCTGTCACTCAACATATTAATTTTGAGATTCAGCTGTATTTTTGCACATCAGTAGCCTGTTCCTGTTATTGCTCAGTATAATTCCATTGTATGCTTATCCCACAGTGTGTTTTTTAGTTCTTGATAATCCAACTTTTGACCAATATGAGTAAAATTGCTTCAGATTATTTGAGTATAAGTTTGTGTGACTATAAATTACACTTCTTGTTAGAACGGTTACTTCATAAGCATGTGTTTAATGTTTTCAGAAAATGCCAAACAACGATAAATCATATGTTACCGCCAACACTTTGTGGGAGTTGTGTCACTCCACACCCTTCTACCTGTCCTTGGTGTCTTAGTTACTTTCGCATTACAGGGGACAAAATACCCAACACCCACAAGTTCAAAGAAGAAAGGTTTATTTGATCTCACAGTTTGTAGAGGTTTCAGCCCATAGTGGGCTGGATCCAGGGTAGGGTGATGTGGCAGACAGGTGTGGCAGGGGAGAAACAGTCCATTACATGACAAGCAGGAGGAAGGAAGCAGCAAGCCTGCCTTCTTTCTGTCCCTTTATAATTCCCTTCAGGCTCCTGGTTAGTACTAGTACCACCCACACCAGGCTGCGGCTTCTGTCATCAGTAAGTCCATTCAGCTACACCCCAGAACTATGCTAAACCAGCTGGTGGACTAATCCAGATACCACACACCCTTAATCCAGTATCACACATCCAGGATCCAGTGCCTACTCAGAGCTGCACTTGTGAGCACATGAGGTTCGGGGAAGCATCTAGATACAAGCCTTAAGAAGATAAAGAGCCTTTAATTTTTGTAAAGTCCAACTTACAGTTTTAATATTATGCAGGTTGCAGTTCTTTTGTTCTAAGAAATGTTTGCCTACCCCAGAGTTGCAAAGATTGTCTCTCCTTTCTGACACATTTTCTCTTAGACTCTGGATTCTAGTTGGAGTCATTCTGAAACATGGCTTTCTGCCTATCACAAGGCTGGGCACTGGCCATGGGCTGCCCCTCTTGGAATTCTAGTCTGACGCAGAGTCCAGCATGTTATTATGGATGTGATAAATGTGGCAATTATGTGAAGGCTGATTTTGCACGTTTTCCCCTTCAGAACTCTGAGCCAGTCAAGAAACTACTACTTGGGGGTGATTAGGGTCAAAGGATCAGATTTGATGCTGTTAAATTTGGACTAGGGAACGTGACTCTCACCAAAACCACCATCAGGCTCCTCCCGCATCCCATCGCCCACCATTAGCTTATGTGGCTGCTGCATATGTACGTGCCTGCCCTCCTCGAGGAGAGGAGGGAATTCTGGCTTTGAGGAGAAGACAGGAAGCTGAAGAGAGGACATGTGTCTGCAAAAGGCTGGCCCCAAAAGACAGAGCCAAGATTGGTCTAGGTGACAGTCATTATAACACCTGTCTCCCACCTCTCCAAACAGACAAGCGGCAATGGACAGACAGAAGGCAGAACGAGGAGAGCTGCCGCTTCAGGAGGTGTGTGCCTTCTATGCACCCAGAACGCAGTTGGAGAAATGATCAGCAAAGCAAAGATTGTAGCAGATGCTAAGGGGAAGCTCTGTGTGACAGGCACTAGGGTGCAGGGTGTATGGAGAGGCTTCTAAAAGTAGGAGTGTGACTCAGTGTGGGCCGTTGGTCACCAGTCAGCAGCAAGATCCAGAGCTTGTGGCATGTTGAAGATCAGCCTCATCAGGAAGTGAACTGTCCCACCGGGCTGTTTTATAGGAAGATTTTCTTTCTTAAAAAATATATTTGTGCCAAAAAAAACCCCAAAAACAACAACAACAAAAAAATTCGTGGGGGGGAAGATTGGAAGGAGTTAAGATGTGTTATGTGCATGTACCAACTCCCCATGATGAGTGTAATCAGTGTGTTCTGCAATGTGCTAATAAGGATAATAATTGTTAAAATTTTAATGTACTGAAATGGTGTAACATATCAGTACCTGTATGCAGTGTGTAATGAGCAGTCAGAGGAATGAGCAAATCCATCACCTTAGATGATTGTTTGTAGTAGAAACATTCAAAGTCCTCTCTGGCTTGCACCTTGGAAAACCCTAGTTCCTGCTGTGGCATTGAACATTAGAAGTTGTTCCTCCCATCCAGCTGCACCCTGAACCCACGCGCCCTCCTCTCCCGCATTATCACCTCCCGTGTTGATTCCCATGCGGTGATAGCCGCTGTGGTATCCGCTGCTGCTTTCAGATCCGTGTTCCAGTTTTCCATAGTGCTTCTGTCTATGCCCAACTCCATTCACCTATTAAAGTGTTTTCCAGTTCTGTGCACGCTGCTGCAGACAATGGTGTTTCTTTCTGCTTTACGGCTGAGTGATCTGCTGTATACACATAGCTCATTTGTAAAATCAGATTCTAGTGGTACAGTTTAGATATACATCATCATCACATTCATCATAGGGAATTTTTACCTGTGTGTGCTCTCACTTGATTCTGTTATTTTTTCCCCGTTTCCCTACCCCCTCTTTAACTCTTCCTCCCCTCCCCATTTACAAAAGCTTTGTTTCCATACCACATTTTCTTTATTTGTCGATCCGTCAAGTAGCTCAGTTAGCTTAGCTGTTGGAATACTGCTGCAGTACACGTGTGAATGGAGGTGTTCCTTCCACGTACTGATTTTCTTTCCTCTTAGTATATACCCAGAAGTGGATTGCTGGATCATAGACAGGTTTCTGGTTTCTTGAAGAACTTCCATACTGTTTCCCGTAATGGCTGAACCAGCAGTGCATGAGACTCCCCATAGTGGGGCTTTGTTGAGGAAGGAAGCAGAGAACTGATCTGTGTTCATGTGGTGCACCGTCTTTTGTCATGTTTTGTTTTTTGCTTTACTGGGCATTGAGCCTAGGGCCTTCATCAGCTGTATCTCCAATCCTGATTCTACTTTTTATTTTGAGACAGGGTCTCACTAATTCTCAAACTTGCAATCCTGTGGCCTCAGCCTCCCACCTGGAGTTAGTGTTTCTTACCTAGTGACTCCACTTGGAGTGTGTGTTTCTTACCTAGTGACGAACCTGCACTTTGAATAGTCCTGTCTTGATGCTCCTGAATTTCTCGCACACTGCTGCAGTGTGGGGAAGGCTGGCATACGGAGGCATGGTGAGCCTGACTCCAGATCTCTGTCCGGCCAGGTGATCGCCATGATCAAGGGCCTGCAGGTGCTCATGGGCAGGATGGAGAGCGTCTTCAACCAAGCCATCCGGAACACCATCTACGCAGCCCTGCAGGACTTTGCCCAGGTGACCCTGCGGGAGCCCTTGAGGCAGGCGGTACGCAAGAAGAAGAATGTCCTCATCAGGTGGGATTTTTGATGGCCCTTTTCAGGGCCACATTGGAAATAAGGGGTGCTAGGTACAGGCTAGAGAGGAAGTTCTTGGCTCAATCTACTTCTGGTCAACCTCTAAACCAATAAAACTGTTCCAGCCAGTTCTAATAGATCTTCTTAAGAGAGTTAAGTCTCAGTCTCTGAGTTTAAGTCAGATGCATCACACTGTTAATAGCTTTAAGAATATGGTCAAATTACTTCTCCAAACCTCAAGCTTCTTCCTTGGTAAAATGGGGATAATGCTACCTACTTTACAGCCATTGTCCCCATGGGTATGGCAGAAAATGAGCTAATCCACGTGTAGACCTATGTGTTCGGCAGTATAGAGTAACTTGGCAACAAGTATAAACTAGTGAAACCTTAAATAAACCTGTATTTAATTGGATTAAGGAGTCTCCCCAAATACCCACAAAGGGAAAAATCTCCTGCCTCCCTCAGGTCCCATCCGTTTGTATGGCCGCGATCTGAACTTTAAAACATGAAGTGGGCAGCAGAATTATGTAGGCTCATTGCTGAAATGCAGATTCCTGACTGTACTTTAACTAAATCAGGGTCTCCAGGTTAGGACCAGAAAGGAGTGTGAATCACAGGAACCCCAGGAATCCTGAGCCAGGAGGTCCTGGGACACCATGGGCCCTGGGACACTTGTGGAGCCTCCTTCTGGCATGATGAGCTGGCCTGAGTCTCAGTTCTTTCCTCCACAGTGTCCTGCAGGCCATTCGGAAGACCATCTGTGACTGGGAGGGGGGCCGAGAGCCCCCCAATGACCCATGCTTGAGAGGGGAGAAGGACCCCAAAGGTGGCTTTGACATCAAGGTGCCCCGGCGTGCTGTGGGGCCGTCCAGCACCCAGGTAAGCAGCTCCAGGCTCAGCCAGCTGCTTTGACTCACAGGCCAGCTGGGCCATGCATCGTGACTGGACCACAGGGCAGCAGGACAGGGGCTCGTTGGTCAGGGGGCGCAGGGTGGAACAGCCTCTGTGGCCTTCTTCTGACACCTTGCCATGATACAGGAAGGAAGGCTACTGGCCTAAGATTCAGGAGACCTGGATTCTCGTCCTAGACACCTGTGTGACCTTGGGCATGTTTCACAAGCTCTCTGTGCCTCAGTTGTCTAATCTGACCGGGGGTAATAAATTACATTGCCCTATTCCAGTATCTCCTAGCCCTGTGAAATCAGATTCCAAAGTATGAGAGGAGCTTAGGGTGGAATCTGTATGCATCTACCCTGCCCCTTGCTAATAAACTCTACCCCCTCTGCAGCAGCACCTTAGCATGGAAGCCCATAAGTTCTGCCTCCAGTGTGCTGTGTGATCTTCGGCAGCACCTTGAACTCTCTGACTCTGTCTTCTCAGAAAAATGAAAACTTTGAGCTCTTGTTACTGACAAAACACTGCTTTTCCAGCATCCCCCAAAAACTGCAAGCCTAGAGTGCCCTTGTCACCACAGGGAAAGTCTAGTGATCAGAAATACTCAGATTTTCCAACTGGAAATTCCGCATATTAAAAAGTAGCCTGTGATTTATGTAACGCAGTCAGAGTATTACAAGGTAAAAAGGAAAAGTAAATAATCTGGGTGATGGAATTAAATTCTTGTTCACAGTCTGCTTTTTGCTATACTGAAAAATCGCAGACAAGTTTTACTGCAGGCTTTAGCGTCTCCTGGCTCCAGAAGTCTGGAAACCCCACTCCACAGATCTGTAAGCCTCTCTGCTCTGAGGCCTCTGAGCTTGGGTGTCTGACCCCTCCTAACCCCTCTCCTGTGTGTGTGTCCTTGTCTGGCAGGATCCGGGGCTGGGCCTGGGCAAAGTGAGATCTTTGCAGGGTCATCATAGCTTTCCTTGACTTCATGTCCTGCGTGTCCCCTGCTGGTAGCAGGATGTCCCAAGGATGTTTCTGCACACTGTTCTATGCAATATGAGGGGTCAGAGGCCTGCCAGGCTGGGCAGGGCCTCTGGGTGCTTCCTAAGACAGGAATGGAGATGAGAGGGGACCAGAGGCACTGGGTGGAGGGTGCAGCAGAGAGGGAGGGGAGCCCCGATGTGGGTGATCGTAAGAGGGGAGGGTCACAGACAGTTAAGCCCAGAGCCGCCAGGCACGCAGGCGACCTAGACGTCCTTAATCTACCCCTAGGCATCCAGGACCGGAAGAGCCCTTGGAGATAACTAGTCCCAGTGCCCTCCCCTAACTTCCAGGTGGGGAAACTGAGGTCCAGAAAGCAGAAGTGACTTGTCCAAGTCACAAGGCGAGCTCCAGGCAGAGGTGGGACAAGTACCCAGGTCTCCTGACTCCCATCCCGGGGCTCTGTTGTGGCCTTCAGAGCACACGGAACACCGGCACCTCCCAGAGCCTGTCGGGTGAATTCGGTGCTCTGTTCAGTAGCTGGGGAAAGAGCTGCCCTGCCTGTGGGTGAAGCCAGTTTTCCTGTAGTTAGAACTATATATGTGTCAGCAACCCTGATGCATGAGACACGGGAATCCTTGGAGGACACCAAAGGCAGCGTTAGAAAGTGCGTCTCGGTTTTTGGGGCCAGTGAGACCTGGCGGCCCCTGTGGTCCCAAGTGGTGGACCATGCCCACCACACTCATCCTCCCTGTAAAAGGAAACACTGTTCAGGGTGGCGGTTGCAGGGCCCGGTGGCTGCCAGGCCCGCTGAGTGCCAGGCAGTGGTGGGAGACCCCAGGCCAGGTGTCGAGGCAGCAAGAGGAGCATGGTTGTTGGGAGGTTGGACTGTCTCGGAGGTGGCCCCAGCAGTCGCGATGGCTTTCCCACCGTATACAATACCTCTCGCTTTTCTCTCTCTCTCTCTTTCTCTCTCTCCCTCTTCCCTGTCTCTCCTGCCCCCCCATTCCCTCCTCCTTCTCTCCTACCTATGTCTTAGGCCTGCCAGTGGTCCCCGAGGGCTTTGTTTCACCCCACTGGTGGCACACAGGGCCGAAGAGGCTGCCGATCCCTGGTATCACTCCGCCTGGCTGGGTTGGTCTGGGTACCCTGCTCCAGGAGGCCCCGGGCATGGACTGGCCCGGCTCCTCCAGGCCCCCTGCAGCCCTAACATGCAGACAAATGACGTGAAGAGATCTAGATTAGCAGAGAGAACAGCCCCACTGCTCTTGCGCCCTTTGCATGTAGGGCACTGTGTAATAGGAGTAACTGTCTAGTTGCTTCCTGTGTAAGTACCTGTGTTAAGTTAACCTGTGGTCCACCCATTCTGGGCCAGGCTGTGCATGCAGCCCAGGCCACCAGAGGGCGCCATGGCTCATGGATTCAAAACGCTGAAGGTCAGAAACTAAGGTGGTTGGGGGGAGTTACGGTGTTCTGATCTTATCTGATAGCTCAGCTCCTCAGACTGTTAGAGCGGAAAGGGCCTGGAATAGAAAGCGTCTATCCACGCCCCCTTGGTTAGGTAAGACAACTGAAGCCCAGAGTGGGGACTTTGGCACCTAAGGTCACACAGCAAGTCATTGGCAGTACCTGCCCTTGAACCTGGGGTCTTTTGTATCCCCCAGTCCAGTGCTCCACCATGGCTATCTGGGAAAGCAGCAGTGACTTTTGAGTGACACGGAATGAGGTTCTCTGATGCCCATGCCCATGGCTGAGCAGGGCAAGCATCTCTTGCTGGGCTTTCTTGAACTGGACAGGGATGCTGTGGGGCCTCTCCTTCTCAGGATGGCCTATCCAAGTGCTGGGCATGTGGCTCAGTGGTAAAACACTTGCCTAGCAAGCATGAGGCCCTGGGTTTGATCCCCAGCACTGCGAAAGAAAACAAAGGTTTTCACAGCTCCAGATTTGCTTCTCCATGTAAACTGGTGCTTCCTTAAGACCGTGCTTTTAAGACCAGAAAAGAAACAACATACAGCAGCTTTCCCCTCAGGGTGGAGGACCAGCCTCTCACCTCGTCTCACTTTCTCTTTCAAGCTCTACATGGTGCGCACCATGCTCGAATCGCTCATTGCAGACAAAAGCGGCTCCAAGAAGACGCTGAGAAGCAGCCTGGACGGGCCCATTGTCCTCGCCATCGAGGATTTCCACAAGCAGTCTTTCTTCTTCACGCATCTGCTCAACATCAGCGGTGAGCTGCGGGGCCTGGGCCTGGACAGGAGACTGCAGCGCTCCTCGTCCTTGGAGGGACAGAGGCTGTCAGCTTGGAAACTGCAGAGAAGGCCCAGTCATGAAGCCAGAGGGGCATGTTGTGCCATCAAGGGGGGACAAACACTTTGGCAGATTTTGGGAGCTAGGGAAGACCAGGCTTGGTGCAGCCATTCCGAAAGCTCAGTTTGATATTTGCGGTTAATTGTCATGAAGTCCTTAGGAAAGAGGAATCAGAACCAGGAATGCACATGCAGTGTCACAGTGGGCAGGGCCAGCCATGGGACCCCCCCCCACACACACACACCCCAGCTCTCTAAACAGTTCTGGTGCTAAGCAGCAGCCATAAGCTCACTGGGGTCATTGTCCTGGCCGAGGAGGCCCCCAAGTTGCACCCCAGTTCTGTGCTCTTTATTCTTGCTTTGCCTCATGGGGTACATGTCATACTAAAGTATTGGAAGGAAAAGAATGGTGACCTGGGGATGTGAGAATCTTAATATGCTAGTAAAAATGATTTTAACAAACATTCCATGGTTCTTCATTAGAAACTGACCCAGGTAGGGCTTTCAAGGCCTCTGAATGGTAAGGGATCCAGAATTGCCACATAGAAAGGGAGAGGAAGCCTCAATCCTGCTATGCTCTTACAATAGTATTGGGGTGCGTTTTCAGGATGGCTGTGTAGGAGGCTGTTGGAAATGATGGGGAACACTGAGTTCTAAAACATCACTTCCTCTTCCCGTGCCCTGCTTCCATCTGTGAAGTACACCAAGTGCCCTTTCTCAGTGGATGCTAAGCTGCAGTCCAGGCTCGGGACAGCAGGGTCTGCTGGGACAGCACCTGCCATGGTCCTAGCACAGTGGTGATGAAAGTGGTAACAGTGACAACAGCAGGAACTAACCAGCTTAGAGCTTTCTGGGGTAACCCAAGGCTCTTCCCTTCTGTTTTCAGAAGCCCTGCAGCAGTGTTGCGACCTTTCCCAGCTCTGGTTCCGAGAATTCTTCCTGGAGTTAACCATGGGCCGGCGAATCCAGTTTCCCATTGAGATGTCCATGCCCTGGATTCTGACAGACCATATCCTGGAAACCAAAGAGCCTTCCATGATGGAGTAAGAGGCAGGATTGGGACAATAAGGAGGCTCTTGAGAGCATTAACCCTGGGCATAGTTCTCCAGCAAGCTCCATTCTTTCCAGAAGGAAGCACTGAGTGGACTAGCGATGAGGCAGTGTGACCCACCCAGGGGAGAGCACCCGCTGAGGAACAGGTCATGCGCGATCATTGACCTCAGCCTTCCAGGAGGACTAGGAAGTCTCCTTTCCTGGCTGTCTTCCCTTGACTCGGTCAGGCCCATAGCAGCCAGGCTCATAACCATCTCTGGGTATCAGGGAGCTAATGTTAGCTGCCACCTGATTTCCTTTAGTCCCAAGCAGTTGTTTTTGGGCCTTGACTTCATTAGCGTTTGGACTTGTGATTTCCATGGGCAGATGGAGGCACTGCCCATCTTGAGTAGAGAGTCCTTCTTGAGTAGAGGCACTGGAAACTTCAGGGAGAGCAGTGGGTTCCTCCCTCCTGACTCTGTCATCTTCTCTCCCAAGCCCTCATGTTCCCCAGGCTGCATAGCTGTACTTTAAGGAGAGCATTAGCACGCTGCTAGCCCTGGTTTCTCTCCTTAGGTACGTCCTCTACCCCTTGGATCTGTACAACGACAGCGCTTACTATGCTCTCACCAAATTTAAGAAGCAATTCCTGTATGATGAGATCGAAGCCGAGGCAAGTGTCATCTTGCTTTTGTTCCTGAAGTTGTGTCCTGAGTGGCTAAACTTTGCTATCTCTCTAGCTATTAGCATAAAGTGGGGGATCAGTGACTTATTCAGTGACTTATTCACCGAGATTACCAAATATAATCATATACACATTGAGACACACACACACAAACACCTCAGTTTGTGACCTGCTTTCTTTCTCTACTCATCTGCAGACTCTTTCTGCACTCTGAAGGGCTTCATGTGTGTGCATATAGATATCTGAACTTGGTCTTCCACTTCTGGTTGCAAATCCTGACCCTTGGCCAAGCCTAAGACTTAGGGACTCACACCTTTCTGCACAGTTTGTAACCTCAGAGGCAAACCCAGAGAAGAGTTCATGTGGCCCTTGAAAGGGCCCAGAAAATCTGGGCGAAGCTCTCAGAGCTAGTTCTAGCAGCAGAGCTTCTTGGGGTCTTGGCAAACATCAACCTTGACCTTGTAGCTTCTTTGCCAGGAGAAAAATCTGCTGGGGACTTCGTCAAAGTTCAAGCTGAGGCCTCAGTTACCTGGGTTTGAAGACAGCACATTGCATAATACTGTGTTTCTGCTTTCTGCATAATAGCAGTAGCCAGTAAAGATAATGAAAGTTCTAAAGGGTTGACCTTGTAGAGCTGAGATTGAATAGGAATCAAAATTAATCACATAAATAAGATGTTTCATTTACTGAGTGTGGTAGCACACTTAGTTATTTTTCTCTGGTTACTGAAACAAAATACCTGATGTCCAAAATTAAGAAAATAAAGCTTTGTTTAGCTCACAGTTTGTAGAGGTTTCAGTCTATAATCAGCTGGTTCCAAGGCAAGGTGGCGTGGCTAAGGGGCAGAAGTTCAAGGTGGCAGAAGATAGCAAAAGCAACAAGAGCAAAAGTAACCAAGATAGAATTTGGTACTGAGCATGGGGCTGTTGCTGTGACTGTACTTGGCAGTGTGATTCAAGAGCCTTTGGGAATAGCTTGTGGGAAGAGTTTGGAAAGGTTCAAAGATGTCACCAGAAAGAGTAGTGCTGGAACATCTTAGTCCATGCTGTGTGGGAGATTCTGTTCAGAAGACCAGAAGGCTGATAGAAATCCCACTGGTAGGTTCAGGAGGTTTCTACTGGAAAGAAGAACTACATTGGTTGTTGAATACCAAACTATGTATAACTTGGCAGACTATGTCTGCATTTTGCTCCTGTCCAGAAAGTTTGCCTGAGACTAAAATTAAGAGCAACAGACTAATTAATCTAGCAGAAGAAATTTCAAGGCAGTCTAATGTTGAGGGAATGGCATGGCTATGGTTGGGGGCTTATAGCCAGATTTATTTTGAGAATCAAGAGCAGAGAGCCCAGTAGGATGATTTAAAACATTGTGAGTTTGGCCAGACAGGAAGTTTCAGTGAAGCTGTGGGCTGCAAAGATAGGGCAGAGGAACTTTTGATTGCTCAGAAGGAACATAAAAAATGGCCTGAGGGCATCAAAATAAGCAGCAAGTCGTCACCCTTTGCAGGCTCAAAACTGCAAAAGTGAAAGACATTGCTTTGAGGAGAAAACTGCAGAGCACCATGCTCCAGAATGCTGGTGGCCTAGAGAATTTGTTCCTCAATGGGGTTCAGAGTGTCCAGTGATCCATGCACTCAACACCTACAGCCAAATAAACTTTTCCTTCCTTAATTTTGGGTGTTTGGTATTAGAGAAAAGTAACTAAGACACACATGCCTATAATCCCAGCACTCAGGAGGCTGAGGCAGGAGTATTGCCAAGAGTTTAAGGCTAGCCTGAGCTACACACTCAAAAAAAGAGAAAGAGGCCTCCTTTGACGTTATCTTTGTGCACTATTACCACCAGAGCCCTGATCCTCTAACATCCCACTTTGGCCATTTTCTGCCCGTGGTATTGAAAGATGTAGTTTAGATTTTCTGTGCCTGCAATGAACTTGTCTTCCTGCCGAGCTGTGTCGTGATCCTCATGTAATGCTGGAGTGCTTTAAAAACCAGAAGTTTGAAGAAGGAGCTTTTACGTTTCTAATGAATCTTCATGATTAAATTTGCCAAGCCAAAACAAATCCTATGAAAGGCAAAGACCAAGGTTATCAGCAAATAAACAGATGAGGTGGGCAGTGCTGCTGCTACCGGGTAAGCAGCCTGAGTGTCACCACAGGGTACCAGGGGTGTCCTGCTCCCCCTGTGCAGGCTGCTGCGTGACAGCCAAGGACTTTGCGTCCTCTCTTGACTGAGGACCTTGGGAGCAAGTGACCAGTCTTACTTCTTCCTGAGCCACAGCCTTTCCATTTTTATTCTTTCAGAGCTGTTAGGGTGCTCTGGGACACACTTTATACAGTCTTGCCCACTGCCCTCTGGTGGATGCATACATTTCTGCACAAAACTAGGAAACATTTCCTAACATTTCCTCTTCCTCCTCACCAGGTAAACCTGTGTTTTGATCAGTTCGTGTACAAGCTAGCAGACCAGATCTTTGCTTACTACAAAGCAATGGCTGGCAGGTAGGAGAGCCCACAGGCTTGATCTAAGACTGGTTCCTGGCAGACAGTTCTTTGTTCTCCCTTCTGTTGGGAGATCGTGCAGTTCCATGGCCTGGTCAAGGTGCTAGAATGTACTAAAAAGGCAAAGAGGGCAGATACAGTACTAACTTATGGAGCCTGCAGTCCCTTGATGAAAAGTGATGAATGCCCAGTGACAGGGAGGTGATGTTCCATCAGTGAAGGCAAAGCCATGGGACTTGAGGCCTGTGTAGCAGTTAAACCTGGACTAGGGTTTGGGGAAAGGAAGTTAAAGATCATCTTAGGAATTAAGTAAGATGAGGTGAAGGATGGGACAGGAAATGACACATAAAAGGAACTTCTTGTGCAGTCCCTGGGGCAAAACTTTCCCTAAGACTGTTGGGAGGGTTAATGGGACTTGAGACAGTCACTGTCCATCAAGGCCACAAAGGGGCTGCATGGTGAAGCACCAGTCTCTTCACTAAACTGGAGGTGAGGACAGGAACTTGGTATCCTCAGTATCCTGAGTGTTCCCCGAGGTATACCAAGCATGCGCAGAATTGCTTTTTTGGTAAATGAATTAAAAAAGAAAGCAGTTCAACTCTTTTTCCCATCTGGAGCTTAGAAACTTTCTCTCATGTGCTTCCATGGGTGAAAAGTACTTTGGGAGACCTTGCAGTGGAGCAGATAGCAGTTGTGTCTAGGACATTCCAGATAGTCCTCTTTGGGTAGATCCTGTGATCTGGAATTGATGTCACTGGGCACTGAGAACCAGTCACTGTCATGTTCACTGTTTAACTTTGATTCTTTTCAGTGTCCTGCTGGATAAGCGTTTTCGAGCTGAATGTAAGAATTATGGGGTCATCATCCCGTATCCACCATCCAACCGCTATGAAACACTGCTGAAACAGAGGCACGTCCAGGTATGGTGGAGGAGAGCCATTGTGGAAGGGAACAGGAAGGAGTGGGGATCTATGAAGTCAGCGTGGAGCTTAAGAAATCAGGATTCCGTAGTGTCTGCCCTGGGAACAGCCTAGAGTAGATTTCCAAGAATAGATGTCACACAGCCTCAGACTCTAACTCTTCCTTCTGTGTGAGATGTAGGCTTCTCAAAGCATCTCCAGCTCATACCTGGCAGGTAGTGGGTACCAAAGCCTTTGTCCTGTGGTCATTAGCTGGAGCCCCCTTCTTTTCATTAGCACTGCAATGCAGACATGGGTCTAGCTCTTCCTGGACAGGGCCTAGATGCTGTGTTAACCTTGGGTTAAATCCAGGGTGGAAACTGCACTCCACTTTTGTGAATGGACATTTGATCCCAGAGGGAGAGGAATCACTACTGGGGGCTGAGAAAATGCTTGTTTAAAAATGTGAAGATGAGCCGGGCACCATATCAGAGGTCCCCAAAGACTCCGCTCCCTACCTGCTGTGGTCCACCTGGTGGCGCAGTGGCCTTTGTGCACATTTTGTGGCCCCTGCTCTCTGTGAAGGATCAGAGCTGAGACCCAAAAGATGCAAACAGTGAAAACAAAGGACTTAGCCTTGAAAACCCTGGACACTCCCATGGCCTTGAGAAATCCAGAGGACATAATCAGAAGAGGAATGGACATAGTTTCTCCTCCACCAGCACAGGCCCAGTGAGAGCTTTCTGTTCAGCCACTCAGAAGATTACTGCTGTCAGTAGCAATGCAGCCAGAATTAGCCACTGGGTATTAAACCCCGTGGGCTTCATGTGCATGTGTTATCACAACACAGGTCCCTGGTCAACAGTAGAAAATTTATCCTAAGAGAAAAGCAAGGGAAAAAAATACTTAAGAACAATCACTTGGCACCCAGCAAAGCATTGTATACCCAGGTGGTGCTCACTAAATGTTTACTGGTACCTGCATAGCATGTATGAGCATGCTCACGTGTATCCCCATGGATATTAACAATTATTGTCTTTTCCATCCTTAAATCGGCCCTTCATGCTCTTGCTTTTAAGTTTGTCCCAAGGAATGCACCCCCTGTCCCATTGCTGCGGTGGCTGCTGTCACACTGTGGCTGATTTGAGCCCAGGGCAGATACAGGAGGAGCCTCAAGCCTGAGTTTAGGATGTCAGCACATCCAGTTGTGGGAGAGTAGAGTCTGCCCAAAGCCTCTTTCTGCAGCCTGAATGAATGGTATTTTTCCTCAACTACTTATTAAGCCTACAGGGAAGTTGAAAGAATAATACAGTAAACACTTGTCTACCCTATAGCCAGATTAATGATGATCAATGTTTGACTCTATTTAGTTGACTTTTTTTCATTTATATGTTCTGATACACACATTAGAGTCAGTTTGTGTGTACATGTGCCTATGTTAGTGTAAGTACATTTTTATTAACCATTTGAGCATAAAATTGCAGATACCATGATATTTCACCACTGCGTGGCTCAGCCTTTATTTTCTAAGAATGAGAAAATTCTCTTAGGAAATTGAAATAAAATTGCCAAACTTGGGAAATGTAACAGTGCCATTTTCCACTTGGAATCCTCAGGTGTCCCAGTGTTTCTCATTTTAATCCCTATCCTTTCAGTGCATTGCATTAGTTGTCAGGTGTTACCATGAATCGTAAGTGACCGGCCCTCTTTCTGCTGTCTAGCTGTTGGGCAGATCCATCGACTTGAACAGACTCATCACCCAGCGCATTTCTGCTGCCATGTATAAATCCTTGGACCAGGCCATCAGCCGCTTCGAGAGTGAAGACCTGACCTCCATTGTGGTGAGAGACTGAGGGCTGGTAGGCTTTCTCCTCTGGGTGGTCAGACCTGAAACCCAGCTGGAATCGTTGTTAGCTGTGGGTCTCTTTCTTGATTGGACAGGGCAGGAGAATGAAAGACTTAATTGCAATAAGAATAATCGTATCCTCCTGAACAATGGGACGAGGGGCAGGGTGCAGAGGGGGATCTCCCTGAGCCTCTAGAAATGACCATGCCTTGGGCACAGCTGCATGTCCACACGACCTGAAGGGCTGAGCAAGTAGGCAAATGTTCTCAAGAAACTAGAGGAGACAGCACAGCAGACGTCGTGGGCAGCTGTAGAGGATCCAGCAGCTCTGGCATTGGTTTAGTGCTCTGTTGTTACCAATGTGAAGTCTTAATAATATTTTAACAATGGCTCTCCACCATACCTGGACTTGCCTCATCAGCATTTTACACTTAACCGGGCATCGTGCTGGCCGTTCTGATGCTGCCCAACCTGGGAACAGGCCTAGTCCCTGTTCTAGAAAACAATAATTGGAACTGCTTTCTCTTGATCTTCTCACTCCAAGAGTTAGAATAAACCTTACTGGTGAACTTTAAGGTAATCAAAGGAAAACTTTAATACTTCCAAAGCAGATGAGAAGGAAAAAAAAAAGGGAAAAAAAAACCCTAGAAAAATCACTTACTAGATTATAACATTAAGTATTGTGGACAAAATCTATCTGAGCGAAGATGAATGGGAAGGAACCTTGAGAAGGATGTTACGTCATTTGTCAAATATGAGGTTCCTGGAGCAGGTGCATTTATAGAGACAGAAAGTTGAAGTGTAGTTGCTGAGGAAAGGGAATTAGTGTTGAATGGCTGGAGATCCAGTTAGGCAGGCGGCATTTCTAAAGATGGACAGTGGTGATGGGTGGCACAGTGACCCCACTGAAGGCCATGTGCTGAACACCACAGTGGCTAAAACCATAAACGTGCGCATAATTCTCCACAGTACAGAAAGTTACTCAGAAAAGAGCTTCGAGAAGAAATGGTCCATACTATAGTCTTAAAGTGACCCTGTCGGACATGATTTAAGTCCAAAGGAAGCAGAGTAACTTTACAGTGGAGAGAGCTGACAGGCACCATCTTACCACGGCCCAAGTTCTAGGTCCTGAGGTACATTATTATTTCCATCGTGTGCCTGGTGAAATGCACACTCTCAGTCTTCTCAGGAGGAAATATTAAATAAACTCTATCAAGTGTCATTGTTTAAAAAAAAAGTGAATAATGCTTTACAAAAATGCCCTGTCTTGAAAGACAAGGAAAAGTCTGAAAACTGGAAATTAGAAATGAATGACAACACATCAAGTTTCACAACTATAAATGCCACATGGGATCCTGAATTGATTCTTAAAGGGGGAAAAAGATCTTGGTGGGAAAATGGATGAAACCTAAGAAAAGTATATTCAGTTGATAGTGTACACTGAAATCTCTTCTTTAGATAACTGTACAATGCTTATGGGAGGTGTTAACATTCAGGAAATGGGATAAAGGATATGCAGGTTCTACTGTTTTAGCAACTTTTCTGTGAGTCTACAATTACTTAAAGAGCTTATTTTTTTTTAAGTGAACAAAGTGGCAAAAACCAAAGTGACCAAGAACTGGGACTCCAGAATTAGACCACCTTTAAGTCCCATCTGGCCCTGCCATGTGCTGACTGGGTGATCTTAGCAGGTGCCTTATCTCTAAGCCTGTTTCCTTGACCTTACCAGGGAGAGAGTGTTAGAATCTGTCTTATAGTATTGTTAGAATGAAACAATAGGTGACATCTGGAAAGAATGTAGCCTACTTTCTAGTATTTAATAAACAATAGCTATGAAAAAAGAAACTTAGAAGTATAATGCAGTGCTCTCGTGGAGAATTTTCAGCACTGTTTCGTAGGATTTGCACTAAGACCTGAGCCATGGGTTACTTACCAAGAATTGCATGAATCCTTCTAGAAAATAATTCATCCACCTCTGTTTCAAGAAGTACAGGTTTCCTTTGTTTGTGCCAAGATGCTGGCAGTGATTATCTCCAAGTAGTGGAAATTTAGTTTTTCTCTTCTTCTGTTTACCTCTGGCTAGTTTTCCAACAGTGAGCATGTCTGATGGGAAAAAGAGATGAGCGCAGTACGCGTGTGTCTGTGCATGTGTGCGTCTTCCCACCCCCGAAAGGCACTGAATGTTCTCCTAGCTGGGAACAAAATCAAAACAAGCAGTGAAAACCCTTGTTTATCAAGGGCGGCAGCAGCCCCTCCAGATCTTCCCCCTGCCTGTGAGGCCCCAGAGATCCCAGAGGGTCAGGCTGACCTCATGTGTGGGCTGCGAAGCCCTCACCTCCTTGCAGACCAAGTACTGTGTCCTTCCTCTCCTTAAAAACACCATTCTGAGATGAGGAGACTGCTGCCTTTGAGCTGGGAGCACTTGCAGACACTTGGAGAGGTGGCCACCTGGTTTTGCACAGCTTTGTCTAGGTGAGGTCTGATGCAGCTGGACATGGAGCCTGTGTTTTGCTGCGTGGCGTACTTGAAATTTTGAGCCAACATATAACAGTTGGAAGAATTCAGATAAAACTTCAGAAGCTCTGACAGTGCCAGCCTGTCATTCCGGCTGGCAGCAGTTGTCTGGAAGTGACTACATGTTCCTTTAGATGGCCAAGCTCCCTTCATTTAGCTGCAAGCCCTGTAGGCACCAGTGAGTCAGTCCCCTGTGCCTCCCAGGCCCTGCAGTACCAGAGTTCGAGCCTTCCTTTCTCTCATCCGCCTGCGGCTGCCGAGCTGGCCAGCACTTGGGCGTGACCGACACTCAGGTTTCCTGGCTCCTTCCACTCCACCTCTGGTATTGCCTGTTTGCCTGTTGTAGTTGCCATTTTACTTTCTGTGTGGTCTGTCAGTAAACTGGCTTTGCTGATAAAAGCTCAGATGCTCCCAGAAGGCCCCTAAACTGCTCCTGTGGCCTTTTCCCAGTGTTCTGCACCTTGGTACTCTCAACTGTGTGTCCGTCAAGCAGAACAAATTCAGTAAAGGGTTTGTGTTACCTACCAGGGGCTACTGGATCCCATGTCCTAAATGCTGGTGCGCCCTTGTGAAACTTAAACTCACGGAATAATTGGCCGGAACTTGTCCCCCAATTTCTCACTGTGATGATCCCCTTCCCATCCTGAATAGGACACCGCCATGTGCCAGGCAACTCAGTGATCTTAGGAATAAAGTCATTCTCAGTTGCCAATTTATTATTTATCTGCTGCTTACGCATTCTAAGCTAATAGACGCATAGGCACAGTGCACCCCTCTGGGGTCTAAGAGGCCAAGGCAGAAAGCCGATTCTGCATTTCTGTCCTTCATTGACTTCATGGTGCTTGGGGACTGGAGATTGAACTGAAATCTAGATTCTTTCTTTGAGAAATGTAGGATTTGCCGATTCTTGCCATTCTGACGTGGCAGCCGTCAGATGAGTATGAGAGGGGCAGGTTCACCTCTGTCTGGCGGAGGGGCTCCCCAGTGAGCCAGAGACAGCCCACCCCCAGGGCTCCCTGCAGCTTGCCTCCCTGCCCTGGTCTATCGGGCTGCTGTGGCTGTCGGTGTCTGTTAGCTTTCTGCAGGTTCTGCACTGTCAGTTGACAACCACAGAGTTGAGCCTGAGTTCCTGAGTGGTGGAGCTCACTCCCTGGAATGATGGAGATGATCAGAGGCAGGACACGACGAGAGGCAGCTGAATCCCTGCCTCCTGTGACAACTTCACCTTGTCACTAAAACTGGCCCTCGACCCGTCCTGCTTGGATGTCTGGTGACCCCCACTACATTTATATTGCAAAGCAGTGTCTGCCTTTTAGGAGACGCTTGCAGCACTGTGTCACAGGGCACACATGGTGTGGAATCAGAAGGGCTGGGCTCACCTTCCAAACCCTGTTGCGTATTCCCTGTGTGATCCTGGGCGAGTTCCTTGACCTTACAGACCTCAGTAACCTCACATTACTGAGGTCTGCCTTCTCTTTCTCTAGCTGTCTCCTGGGCATTCATGCTTTTCAATGGCAGTGAAGTCACAGGACAGCCAGAAAGCAGAGCGAGCCAAAGAGATTTCACTCTACTGTTTGCCAGCAAATCCAGGGACCCCGTGCACACACATCCTCTTTGACCCGCCCTCTACCTGAAGGTGACTCCAAGTGGCCCTGGCCTGCAGCATCTATAGGTCCCTGCCCATCACGGACCAGCTGCAGGCTGCAAGGCTTGTGCCACAGCTTTGCAGGCCTCTAACTGAGGGGTCTGTGGCCTAAAGGAGGAGGCATTTGGTTCCATCTCCTTTCAAAATTGCATGGAAAATGTACAGTGGATAAGAATGTCTACTTTGGGACCCCATTTCTTGAGTTTGAAACCAAGTTACCTCATTTCTCAAAACCTAAATTTCTGTACATGTAAAGACAACAGCAATACCGACCTCACAGAGCTTTGATGAGAATTTAATGTATTAATACATATAAAGTTAATACGTGTGAATTAATTTGAACCAAGTGAAGTTAGCAGTATTTGACAGCATTTGACCTAAAACAGACTTCGTATGGCTCAGCCCAATAATAAGCACAAAGAAGATGGTCTCTCTTGCTGCTTTCCGCAGGGCACAGAAATTGCCTCTGGTGATACAGAGTCATGGCTTTCTTTTATATTACGTGTGACAGCGAGGCACAGGCTGTCCTCTCCCCAGTATAGAAACTAGAAAGCAAGCAAATGTGCTTTCTGCCCTAAGGATTGCAAACAGCATTTCTACATGGTTGGTGGTCTCCTTGCAGGTGTCAGCATGCAGCCCCTGTCTCCCACTGTAGTCCCCAAATAGCATGGCAGTTTCTTCTTCTCAGAACAGGGGAACATTGTGTGGTGCCACTGTCAGAGGGTCCCAGTCCTCTTGTGCAAGGTCAAGATACTGTCTGAGCGGCTCTCGCCTGCCTGAAAGAAGCCAGCAAGATAAAGTGCCCTCACCTTGCATGCACGTCTTCAGCAGTTCCTGTTCTCTGCCTGCAGGAGCTCGAGTGGCTGCTGGAGATTAACCGACTCACGCACCGGCTGCTGTGTAAGCACATGACACTGGACAGCTTTGACGCCATGTTCCGAGAGGCCAATCACAACGTGTCTGCCCCATATGGCCGTATCACCCTGCACGTCTTCTGGGAGCTGAACTTCGATTTCCTCCCCAACTACTGCTACAATGGGTCCACAAACCGGTGAGGGAGACCTTGTGCAGTGGGGACCAGGGCTAGGTGGGTGTCAGCTGCCTCCTTTAAACTGGACCCAGCGCTGTGACAGGCATCTCTTGGAGCCTGTCTTGGAAATAGGCTCTGTGCCTCAGGCAGCGATGTTGTGTTGAATAAGGAAGCACTCTGCTGCCTCTTGGAGCTGGTAGGCTGGAGGAGGCTTAGGTGGTCAAGCAGTCACCGGGAGGAAGTACCCCAGCAGTAAGGTGAAAGCCACTGCCTGGTCCTACCCAGGGAGTGGAGCAAACCTCAGGGGAGGCTGAGCTGCAAAGGAGGAGTAGGAAGAAAGTGAAGTGGCAGGAGAACAGAATCCCCACCAGCTGCATGTCTGCAGAGCTGAGAGGTTAGTGAGGACCACAGCAGTGCAGTGGGCAGTGGTTCATGAAAGCTCAAGCAGGGGAGAGCTTACGCTACCCATAGGCCATATCGGAATCTTGGAAGAGCTTGAGGAAGGGGGTGCCATGATCGCATTTTCTCTGTCAGGACTCCCAGCCACCTGACCATGTGTGTACAAAACAGGCTCACACATGACATGATGGCACTTTTCTCCTGCAAGGAGCACACAGCTTGCATCAGGCACTGGGGGCCTAATCTGTTTGTCCCTGTAAAGCTTCATAGCCTAGTGGAAGCGGGACCTGTGCTACAGTTTGTGCAAAGATGGAAGTGTCTGTAGATCCTCTCAGTACCTCAGGGGCCTGGTTCAGGGTACACTGTGCAAAACAGACTTCCAGTTCTGTAAAGATGGAAGATTTTTAGCACATGTTTGAGCAAGGAGCAGCAGTCTAGGGCCCAGTCCACAAAGCTGTAGACACATGGAGTTACCAGTTGTTTTGGTAGACCCTGTGAAAGGGAAACAGGTTTTGGGTGATTAGAAGAAGGGTATTAAGAATAGTATTTGATGACATGTGAAAATTACTCAAATGCATCATGTGGTATTGGAGCTCAGCTGTGCTCATTGATTTACCGCTGCCTGTTCAGCCATGGAGGGGAGTTCTTGTAGCAGAGACTCTGGTTTGCAAAGCTGAAAATATTTGCCTTCTGCCCTTTTACGGAAAGAATTTCCTGAACTCAGCTCTTGAAATTAAACTGGAGGTGGTAGACAGGACCCTAGAAAAAAGCCTTTGCAGGCCCAGCACATACACATTTTGCTACCCTGTGGCCTCTGAGCAGCCACCAGCCCTGAACTGAGCCTAGGAATCTGAGCTGCAGCTTTGTCCATTTATGGAAAGGATGGGAGGGGGACAGCGGTCGAGTTGGAAGAAGTCAGAGGAGTTCAGTGCCTTTGACGGTGTGGTTGTACAGAGTGAACCTTCCCCTGGTTGAGGGGGACTGCTGTTTTGTGTCCCAGGCAGGATACTACTAGGACCCAGTTAACCCCTTCCCAATCTCTGTTCTCTTACTAGTTTTGTCCGAACTGCCATTCCATTTACTCAAGAACCACAGCGAGACAAACCTGCCAATGTCCAGCCTTATTATCTCTATGGCTCCAAGGTAAGTAGCCCTTCCCTGTCCTCCCTGGGAGAGGTCCAGTGAGAAAAAAGCAAATAGAAAAGTGTTCCCAGAATCAGAAAAGCTAGAAGGCGTGGAGATTGAGAGGGAGCAGTGAGATCCAGGCATTAACAACTGCGAGGGTCCACGTGCATCTTTATTAGTTCACAGCTAACAGGGATGGGGTGGACGTGGACTCGGGGGTGGATGCTGGTGGAAACTGGGACGAGCCCCACACCAGGTTGCGTGGGGAGCTAGGTCTGTGGGATTTCTTGTCTCGGCTCGCCAGCTCCCCTTGTTTCTCGGTTGATGCAGTGCAGCATCGTTCGGTGATTCTGGGATTTTGCGCTGCGTGATTCATTTCTGGCCCCAGATTTGTGTGAGAGGATTAAAGGATGCCACTCAGAGAGTGAAATATGTCACCTAGCAAGAAAGAGGACAGCATTTTTCTTTCTGCTGGAATAAAAATAGCCACATTTGACCCTATTTTCAACAAGTAAGCAGAAGTGGACTTAGGGGAGGAACTGACTAGCTGAATACCGTAACGTGAGAGAAGCTTTTCTCCTACGCTCGGCAGCTCTAGATTTAAAAGTGTGAGTAACACAAACTAGTTCTTACTACTTGAGCCTGACAGGAGTAGTATATGGCTATCTTTTAAAATATGTTTAAAGTTTAAAAACATGATCCAACTTTAGGAAAAAGTATTATTAATAACAGTAAAGATGGTCCATGGTTTAAAAAAAATGAAAGCGGGGAATGAGGCGAAATGTGAGTGCCGACAGGTTTGAGAACACTGCAGTGTAAGGCTTCTCACGCTTTCCAAGGAATGACAAAAAGCAAGTCACGAAGAGGCTGATCCTTTATTCCAAATCTACGGCCCACACATTTCCTTCCAGTACTATGCTTTATTTAAGTCATGCAAACTTTACTTTCTACTCCATAATAGGTCCATACTTGATTGAGTGTTAGAACAATGCCTGGAAATTCTTAACTGGGCCCCCAAAATGGACACTGGTGAAGCGAAGCCATGCATGTCCCGTGGCAGCCCTGGGAAAGCCATGCTTTCTAGAGTGAGAAGCTACATGGTGGGATTTACATCCAACATCAGGGGTCCACAGTAGCACTGACACTTGAGGGGAGAAAAGTGGGTAGCCTGTATATTTTTACAGAAGTTGTTAGGTGCAGGGGGCTTTAGGGTGCATGATGGGGGCTGTCTCCTCTCTTCTCCCTGCAGAGAGGCAGTATGGCAGGTTGCTGGCCACCCACCCTAGGTAGGGCGCCCCCATCTGGCGCATTCTGCTGGGCTTCAGCTTCCAGTTCAGCCACAGCCCCAGAGTCCTTGCGTGGCATCTCCACCAGGGGGAGCCCCTGCAGATCTTCTTCTCTCTGACCAAGAGCTAGCACCTCCTCAGGCCACCGCACCAACCCATTAGCTTCCTCCATATGGCCAGCTCTGTAAGACCATCGAGGCTCATGACAACGTATGCACCAGAACTGCAGGCAGATAAAGGCCAAGACAGCTGTGAAGCAGGCCAGCAGGATGGCCAGCAGCACCCAGAGAGAGATTTGGGGGTCTACCAGGGAGCTTCCGGCCGCCAGTGGGCTCTTATCCAGTGTGTGGAACATGGTGCAGTAGTGCCTGTAGGGGAAGGCAGCCTTCTTGCAGCTGATGCAGAGGAAGTAGAGCGTGGACGGGGCGAGGTGCTCCAGCACCACAGAGCTGACGGTTCGAGGCACCTTCTCCTCGTGGTGGAAGCTGTAGCGAAGATAGCCAGAGAAGATGCTGTTCCAGTTGGGCCTGTACATAATATGGTAATAGTCCTCCAGGCAGGGCTCTGAGGACGACCAGGAGATGATGGCTCCCGTGTAGGAAATGTTCCCAACCTCGATGTTCATCCCGATTCTGAAACCAGAATCAAAGTGAAGAGTGACTTCCCCCTCCAGTCATAGCCACCGTGCCCTGAGTACAGGAAATGGGCCCTGAAGGTGAACGCCCACTTCTCAGTCAAAGAAATGGAGGCACAGAGACCCATGACTTAGCTAGGCTAGAAAAGAAGGGGCAGATCGGAACTGCACATGGAGGCTGTCTCAGCCCGCCTCCAGCTCTTATAACTCAGCCGCATCCCACCCTGGCTGAAATCCTTTCAGTACAACACTAGCTCATCTTCTTACAAAAGGATGGAAGGACAGACGGAAGGAAAGAAAGAAGGAAGGAAGGAAGGCAGGAGACCCTCAGGGGCCCACCTTAACCTTGCTGGCTCTGACTTCTTTCCTCTCAGCATTTCCTTCACCTGAAATTTCCCCTCCCAACCTGCTGCCTCTGTTCTGAGTGCTGTGGCTCAGGGATCTGGAATGTTGTGCCCAGTGCACTGCTTTAGACTGCCAGTTACGTTCTCTGTGTCGGTGAAGGATAGAGATGCACCTCATCTCTTGTTGCCAACTGGTTTTTCATTCTTTGTGGAGTTAAATTTGTTTTTTCAAAGCTGAAGGCACCAGGAAAGCAGTTGCACAGGCCAGGGTGATCAGCTCTTAATACAGTGTGGCATTCCTGTTCAGTGTTCCTGGCACTGCCCGGTACTGTGACTGTTAGTGACGGTAGTAGCCACCCACAACGGCAGCTGGTTGCTGCGTCCGGGTCACATGAGATGCTTTACATGCAATAAAAAATTTCCTTCGTTCTTCATCACACCCCGAGTGAGAGTCCCACTTTGCACGTGAGCAGCCTAAGGCCACTCAGCTGCGGTAGAGAGAGGACTCAGAGCTGCCTGACCACTGCACTTGCAGAGGCGTGGCTGCTGGACCTGCTTTAATAACAACCACGTTGCAAAACGAGGTACCAGTACTAAGTCCAGCTGAAGTTTTTCCAGGCTAATCCTCTGAGGCCTCTTCAGAGAGCTGGCCTTCCTGCTTTGGGAAGAGACAGCCACCTTTGGGTTTCTTGGTTTCTCTTTAATTCTGTCTGAGATAACAGTCCCCCTCCACTGAATTTCCCCTGATCAGAAATCTGGAGGCAGCTATAATCAACCTGTGTGTGCTCTGGTCTGGGAAATCTCCGTCCCTCCTCTCCCCATTAAACACAGGTTTCATTTTAGGTTGTATTGACAAGGGGAAAAACAGTCACTGAAATCCAAAAAGATATTAAGCCAAATTGGCTGCTGTTGCCACCTGCCTTTCTCCCCGCTCTCTTGTTTTACTGCCCTCTTTCCTAGGAGAGGGGAGCTGCGGAAAGATGCAGAGAGCATCGAGTACATTTTCAGTCCTTATTTTTCTTCTCTAGAGATGGCTGTGAACTAACATGATCAGGAAGGGAAAGAGCTCCTTTCAGTTGGGGAAATTTCTTGGTACGAGACGACAGATGGAAAGGGATGAGACAGGTGTGCTCACATCTTTCCAGGGAAGGTTGTCGGAAAGGAGACCGAACATTTGTGCTGGCTCCTTGATCTCCTCGTATCCACTTCCCCTCCCCACACAGCCGACAAACACGCTTCCCACCACAGGAATCGAGCATAATTCACTCCTTATGACACATCGGGAGCGACTCCATAAAACCCTTGTGTCGGGAGTCATCAGGCATCTGTTCTCGTCATGCAAAACCGTTTCTCCTGCTTGCCTCATATCAGCAACGGGCTGTTTTTCACAGCTCCCTACAGTAGACATTTTTAAGAGCTTTCTTTCAGGATGCTAGCATCGTTCTCAGCTTTCAGAAGCAAATCTGGGTCCCTTATTTAGTTTGCTTTTGCTGCTCAGTTTCTAAATTCTCCCTATGATTAGCTGTTCGTTTGCCGTAGCCTGGCCCTTCTCCAAGCACAGTGTGACAGGAAAAGCCATTTCGATTTTTCAAGACGAGCCAGCTCCGTCTCTTACCTGCTGCTCGCAGTGTATGTGGTCAGAGCTCTGCCCTCCGAGGTGGAGTGGACCAAAGCTGATGGAACGGTGGCTTCCTCCGCTCTGGGTTCTCCTGGATGTTCACTCGCCACTGAGTAATCCCACTGTCACCCCCAGTGCTCACATTATTCATTTCTTCACATCAGCATCATTCACCATGGCAACCAGCAGGCATCTACGCATGATGCTTTCAGGGACCAGCCTGGAAAGGCTTTTGCCCATTGAGAAGATCTATCATTCCTTTGGCCAAAAAAGCATTAACCATCCCCAGCAGAATGATCCTTAGGATGCTACTAATTTTTCCAGGGCATCCAGATTTTCACTCCAATGAAAATGATCATTTTATTGCCCCGTCTACATTTTTTTTTTTTTTTGGACAATGGTTTCAAAAGCAAAGATACCCTTCTTAGTTGTTCCACAACTATTAGTAAATTCATCCTCATCTCTCACACCTAATCCCACCTACTACCTCTCGGGCATCTTCTTTCTTTATTCTCTCCTATGGCTTGACTTAGTTTATGTAGGCTTTATGCTACCTTCATCGAGACCCTCTTATCTTGTGGTTCCAAATTCTGTCATCTATAAAGCCACAGCTGGGCCAGATAAGGGGTGACAGAAGGCACAGCTGCTATCCCTGGTCAGTCCCGAACACCGAACCATGTTGCTCAGCTATCATGCCATTCATGGTGGGTTGTCTAACACCATCACCCCGACTCCAGAGCTTCAGAATGTGACCTTATTTAGAAATACAATCTTTCTAGCTGCAATTAGTTAAGGATCTCAAGATGAAATCATCCTGGATTTAAGATAACTGGAGTTTGTGAGAGAAAGGACAGGGAGACTTAGACCCAGAGACACACAAGCAGCAGCAGCCACCTGAAGACAGGGGCAGGAATCAGAACGGTGCTGGCACGCAGCCACCAGGAGCTGGAAGAGGTGGGGAAGGAGTCTCCCCTGGAGCCTTCAGACAGCGTGTGGCCTAGCCAGCACCTTAATGTTCTAGAGTTATGAAAAAATAAATTTCTATCATGTGGGGATACCAGGTTGATAGTAGTTGGTACCCGTAACCCTAGGAATGTAATTCAGCACCCCTGCTAATCAGACCAGAAAGAACCACGGAGTTCTCAGCAGCTCCTCACCTATCAGTCAGCTGGAGCTGACACCCAGTGTGGAACCGTTCACTCTTCCTGGACCAGAGGGCCCCTGCTGTCCTGTCTTTTTTTGCAAGATGTCTCTCTCGAGATTCAGTCCTTTCCTGTTCCCGCACCCTGTACGATGCATTGCCACCACTCTGTGAGGGAGAACACACAGCATGCCTGAAACAGAAGCTAGAGAACCGCTCAACCAGATTTAGACCAGAATAGTTTTACACAAATTATGTATTTTTAAAAGTCATTTTTAAAATCTTTTTTGTGCCTATCATATCCCTTGGGGAGGCCCACACACACACAAGTGTGCTGCTGTAATATGGAATGTAAAAAGCTGGTCTCGAAGAGACTAGTGACTACAGGCCCCTGAGAATAGTGTTGGGGGGCTGGGGACAGAGAGAAGATGGCTAAAGGGTACAGTGGTGTGTTCAGCAGGAAGAGTACCTGCTGTCAGGTTAACTATGGTTGTAAACAGTTAATTATTTTGAAGATACCGATAGGGAGGATCTCGAATGTCCACAACACAAAGAATACTGACATGTGACTGAGGTGACAGAGAAGCCACTTATGCCTATCTGACCATTACACATTGTATACATGTATTGGAATGTCACACTCTACCCCATAAATATGCACAAGGACTGTGTGTCAGTTAAAACTAGAAATACATTTTTAAGAAGTCTGCTTCCTCCTCCTTGGTTCTTGGCCACAGGGTCCAGTCAGACCCATGTCAGTCCCCAAGCAAGCTGTGTCAGTGATGACCACAAAGTCAGGAGGAGCTCCCTGGTGAGCCAAGGCGCTGCCCCAGAGACTGGGGTGCCGATGTTTGTGATCCGATGGCACCCAGTCTCCCGGGAGCCTGCCTTAAATCTGGCAGCTGTACATATAGTATGTCTCTTCCTGAAGGCTAATGGTGATGCCCGCAGAGCATAAAAGCATCCTCTCCACAGAAGGCCCAGTGCTGCAGCTTGCAGATGCCTTTGGAAAGGTTATTTTGAGGGGAACAAAAATATCAGAGTTAAAGGACCTGAGAGTGCCAAGGTAGAACTCAGTCCTTATTCCACAGAAAGTGGGAAGTTATTTTCGATGTTCCTAGACAACATTTTTCATTGGGAGCTTTTTGAGGAATTAAGAGGCTCAGAGCACATGGGGCCTAACAGCTATTTTGTTTCAGTCCCAAGAGAAGATGCACTTTTCCTCAGGCTACATAATGGATCAGGGACAAAACTAGAAATTGGGTCCCTGACTGATCCTGCCACGAGGACCCGCAGAAGCCAGAGCAGCTTTCGGCAAGTGAGATAAATTACCCCATTCATTCTTCCGCACTGGCACAGAACTTCCACAGTGCATTCAGGCTGTCGCCTGCCAGCTGCCAGGCCAGGTCGTCCCCATTTGGCTTGTGTCAGAAGTAAGTCACTGCCAGAGGAAGTCAGCCTTGAGCGTGGTCCCTGCACCCTTCCTGGAGGTGGCAGTGAAGGGATGATATGATGGCATGACTTAGTCCCAGAGCTGGAACCACTGGGCCAGAGGCCAATCCTGATATGTAGCCTTCAGCAGATTCCTTTACTTTCCTGTGCCTCAGTTAATGTATCTGTAGAAACGAAATACCGTATAGTGTTGCTGTAATGGTGAGATGAGCCATGGCTGTGCAGTACTGGTCTTAAGAACAGTAGCTGGCTATCAGGAAAGGCCAGAGCTGTTTTCTGAGGTGCTCATAGCTTCACCCCAAATCATACTTCTCTGCTCTGTCCCCCTTAAATCAGCCTTTTGGGTTTAGTTTTTTAGCATACAAGCTCCTTGTCCACATTAAAGGACACACGAAAGTGAATCATGGCAGTGAAACTTCCTTCGTACAACTCGGAAATAACCACTGTGAACATTTTGGTGCATTGTGCATGTTTTCTCGTCTTACATGACAGCTTTTTGAGATAAGCCAGATACCCACAGTGCATACGAGAAACTGAAGTTCTTCACACAGATGACTTAGGCACTGTTGAAAACCCAGGTCACAGTAGAGGGGTGCTTTATACCTAGGCCAGCAGTCACAGAGCCTGAGCTCCGGCGACCACAGATTCTCCTCCTGGGAACTTGTGTCCCTCTGTGATGTGTGTCCACAGTGGCCCCTTTCCTTGCATTAATTGATTCTGAAGAGGTGGAGATGGGGCTTGAGACAGTAATGGACTCCAGAATGATAGGAACAGATGGACCTTAGAGACCCCGCAGAAAACGTGCAGCCACCTGTGTGCAGCTGATAGAGCCAAAGAAAGCGTCATACAGTCAGCAGGTGTTTACTCTTGGGAACATGCTGTGTGCTGGAGTTCAAGTACACCAGCTAAGAGTGCTGTCACTTGGCAGTGATGTTTTTTTAAACAAAAGGAAGTAGGGAGAACTTTTTAATCATTTCCCAGTCATTTTTTGGCTTTTAGAAACTATCAATGTGGTTATTTTGTTCGGCATGGCCAGCACCTACTCAGTGATGCCCCTGTCACAACCATTGTGTCATCTCAAGGAGATTCGTGCTTGCTACTTTTCAGTGCTGATGCCAGTAGGACCAGTGCCTTGCTGCAGTGGGCCAAGTACTTCTCAGCAGGATGCCTGCCTGGCCACCAGGGTCCCACTTAGTCTGGCCAGGGGACTCTGCCTGCCCCAGCGACACCATCACCAGTGACACCAGCCACTTCATGGCCACCACCCCTCCCCGTGTCTGCACACTACTACTCCCAGACTCTACCACAGTTCACATACATCACATGCACCAGTCCAGATGGACGGCTTCTGTCATTGTACAAGTGGCAGCCTGTACGTTTGGGTCACGCCAGTCACTTCATTTCATTGGGCTCCAGATTCTACCTCCATTAAGCAGGGAAGACTCACTGTCTCCATTATTGAGGCTGGTAATGGTCCCCACACAAAGCAGGTCCTGGTCCTGAGACCTGTAAATGTTATGTTCTTTGGCGGGGGGGGCGGTTTTCTCTACAGATGGAATTAAGTGAAGTATCTTGAGATGGGAGTAGGACCTACGGGCCATCACACAGAAGACAGAAGTCCACACAAGTCCCACACACGTGCTAACCAAGCACTGGAGCCCCAAGAATACAGAGGAGAAAGTGATGTGAAGACTTGGCAGAGATGTGACAGTCAGAGCATTGTGGTCACAAGCCAGGGATGGTGGCAGCCACCAGTAGCTGGAAGAGGCAAAGACCACTTTGTCCCCTGAACCCCTTTGGTAGGAATGTGACCCTGCCAACCCTTAACTGGGGTCTGGTGACACTGATTTTTGGCTTCCAGAAGGACTATATGAGAGAGTAAGTTCATGTTGTATGCCACCAGGTTTGTGGCCATTTGCTGTCATCTGGGAAGCCATGAAGGAAAACTCTGAGAAACGTTCCATGCTAATGTATCTCACACTGTGCCGAGGATAAAGAAAAGGGATCCCATTGGTTTCCTCTGAAGATGTTAGCACAATAGGGGGATGTGACAACTTAGAAGCCTCAGTTCCTGCTCTTCCCTTGCCTTTTCCAAAGCAAGGGAAAAAGGAGCATATTTCCTGTGACTTCTACAGCAACTCCCTGAGGTCTTCCAGCCTGTGAGAACACTAAGGAGAAACCCAAATGTTTGAGACCCAGCTCACCTAGTACTGAGAACAGACAGGCAGACACTTAGCAGTTTTACCCAAGCTCCAGCAATAAGTGTGAACCAGTAACAGCATCAGTCCATGCTTTGAACCAGCTTCCCAGCCAGGGTGGTAGTGCTCTGATACTCTTTTACCTGCTCTGTGTTAAGCTGCAGCTCTCTAACCTGAATTAGAGACAGTGTGTTTGTGTTTGTGGGCTGATGGCATTCATTAGGGAAATTGTAATGAAAACAGGAAATTAGAAACAGTTTTAATTCCTCTTGGGATTCCTGTAAACAGCAATCGTGATTCCAGAGAGCAGAGATGCAAACAGCTTACAAATTCAGTTTGCCAAATGAATAGGCCTCATTATTCTCAGCCTCTTTACCATCTGCTGAGAGCTGGAGAGAGGCCTTGTGGTTAAATGTTCATTTACCACCGTTACAAATGATGAAAGCACTCAAGGTTGATACATATATATCACAATTTTTTAAAAGTCCAATCTCCAGATAGTACAGTGCCCACAGTTCCCCAGATCACATCACCATAGTTATCCTCTCCTTAAAATACTGGATTTTTCAAAATATACTTTATATTCAGTGTTGCCAAGTAATAACATGGCTCTGCTTCATTTATCAGGATTGTGGATTTCTTAACAGACCTCGTAAAGTTACCTGTTTTCTGTAGCATGGAGCTAGCCAGGTGGTTTTCAGTGAGCAATCAATCGATGTTAAAGCAAATAAGATCCAATTTCCTGGTGGACCCACTGGTTATAACCTTGGGCCACCAAGTGTTTCTTCAGCATGATGGCTGAGTGGCAGATCTCCAGTAACCCTAAATTCCTGTTTTTCCTTTGTCAAATCTCAGAAAATGCCCAGGCTCCCCTATTCCCACATTTTCTCAATAGGGCCCAGCCTCCTATTGAGCCACCAGGTCAGATGGGTGCCCTCCGGGGATGTGTGTGTTTGCATGCGTGTAAGTTTCCTCTTGCATGTGGGTGGTGTGTCTCAGCATGGGGCTGGCGGGTGCTTGTTCACTTAGGAGGAGCACTTGGACTCCAAGAATTTCACACCGGCTCTCCCTGTGTGCAGTGCATGGTGGGCCGTCAGCTGAGGCCTGAACTTCCCATCTAGCCCAGAATCCAAAGTGGGCATAGCAATGCCATCCGGAACCTCCTAAGTGCACCAAGTGGGTCTAGGGGTAGAGAGAACATTCGTAAACACATGTGTGTCAAAACAGTTGCAAAATTTTCTATCCTCCACCTAGAATTTGAAGTCTGCTGAACAATTTCTGGACATGCATTGCTTTGTGCTTGCCTGGAAGCTTCCACGGGGAAGATCCTATGAGGAAATTCCAGCCGGAAGCTGTTCTTTCTCAGTTTTTAACTTTCTGGGTTACCTGATAAAATCATGCCCATGACCCTGATTCCTGTGAGTGCCTCTGGTGTGCTGCACAAAGCACCATTTCCTGCTGTGTGTCAGGCAAACCCCTAACTGTCTTGGTGGATTTGACCTCATCGTCTTAGGGGAAGCCAAGGCTTCAGGGTTTAAGTGACACCCAGCTGGTATACCGGGGAACTGGGTTTTGATCTCAACTGTGGCTGTGCCCACTCTGGAGCTCCTCCTCTAGAGCCAGAGCAAGGAAGAAGGGAGAGTCAGAATGCAGTACAGTAAGTAGCTGATTGCTTTTTGTGCCCCCCTCAGTTATCCATCTGAGCTCCCTGCTATTCAGAAATTCTATTTATAGAACATTTGAAGAGGGAATGAAGGAGAACGGCCTTCCAGGGTCCAGAGAACCCCCAGTGTGAGCAGGAATGATGAGCTGTTGGGGCAGGAACTCTGTCATTTGCCCCTTGGCTAAGAGCAGTCCAGGCATTGTGCAGGGTCGGGCGATGTGCAGCACTCTGCAGGGGAAAACTCAAAGCCCGGTTCTGTGTTTCTGTCTTTGAAAATAAATGTTAGGAAGTGAATTGGGCTGAGACATACTCAAGTGGGGTTTTAAATTTTTATATTGGGGGATAAACATTTCCAGTAAAACATAAAGTCATCAGGTCAGGCTGTTCTAACAAGCGTACTATGACTTAAACAACAAATACTTCATTTTTTACAGTTCTGGAGGGTGAGAAGTCTAAGGCTTATGCGTCAGCTGGAGTCAGGTTTTCAGACAGCTGACTTCTCGTTACAGCCTCCCATGGCGGAGGGGAGGAAGCACTGCTGTCTCTTTATGAGGACTCTAATCCCATGCAGGAGGTCTCTTCCCTCATGAGACTGACTGACCTCCTGAGGCCATCACCGCTTCATCCTATCCTGTTGGAGATCAGGGTTTCAGTGTGTGAATCTGGGGGGGACCCAGACCTAAGGTCTGTCTGCACGGATTTATCAAATCAGCATGACGAGGAGCCTTTCCATCACCCCAGAAAGTCCTCTCCCCGCTTTCCAGCACTTAACCCTGGTGGAAAAGCATTGGTTAGGTGTCCTCTGGTGCTCCTCCGAAGGGAACAGAAAATATGGGGTAACACCAGGCAAACTGCACCCGGGTAGGGGAGCAGGCACCTCGTGGCATTCTGTGTTCTGCGTGCTTCCCAGCCTTACCCCGTCCTCAGCCTCGTCGGATAGGGGGCCTGTTACAGAGGCACTAAAATCACTGCAAAGAAAAATCACACGGCCAGGTGCCAGGATTGGCTCAGTCTGACACGATAATTCCTGTGCTTCCAGGATTAGCTTGAGTGAATCGCAGACTCTAAAGCTGGTTGCATTTCCCTGTCTGCATAAACTGCTGCTGGCCCATACGTTTAGAAAGCATATAAACTCCGTCCCCTCCCAGGCTCAAGTAGTGTGCACTGTGACAGCTCCTCAGTGTTCGGAGCACAAGCCTGCTCTTTCTCACATTCCAAGCCTCTCGGCCTGGAGGCCCACGCTCAGCAGACGCGCTGAGCCTCCCCTCGTGAGTGAGTGGGGGTTCCGGTTCCTCACGATCCCTTGTTATTAGTGGGAACTCAAGTTTATTCTTCCATATCCTTACTGTTAGAAAAGTACTGGAACAGGGACATTTTTGGTAAAGTTGAGGGTGATTCATGGGCAGCAAAACATGCTTGAAACTGAGACCACACTTGGTTAAGTTTCCCTCCGAGGCTCCAAAGCGAGCAGAATCATGCAGTCCTCCGAGATTTCCTAGTTTTTGTTAGATTCATGTAGAATTTCTGACTGGTCAGCTATTTAAAAATTTCAGCCAAGAGAACATCAGGTCTCACCTGCCTGTATTTGTGTGTTCGTGCAGAAGACTGCTGTAATCTCAGGTAGGAAAACTATATGCAGAGCTCAATTTTGAGATGAGATCTTATATAAATAGCCAAGGATGGTTTACAGAACTCAGATCCATAGTATACTATTACGGATACAGCTAAGAGCACAGACTTTGAAGTCAGCCATACCTAGCTCAAATCAGGGCTTTCTTATCAACAGGCCATGACCTCGAGTGAGCTACTGAGTACCCGAGCCTCAGTTCCCTTATCTGTGAAATGGGCCTGTCATATTACATACTGCATATGTGTGGCTTCAATGACAGTGTGTGTGGAGGACTTTACGCAGCCTGGATGAAGTCCTCCCTACCTAGCATCTCACATGGAGCGCTAGAGTCAGTGTTGATTTTTATATCCTCACCAGACACATGAGACCAGTCAAGGGCCTCATATTTTGGACATATTTTCTCAGGCAGAAAGAAATCTTAACGACAGCTTTCTAGTTCAGCTAAAATCTCTCATGGGAGCCAGATGATGGCAACAGCGTCCAGCTCCACTCTGCCCGGCAGTGTTCATGACATCTTTCCCTTGCTCTGTTGCTCCCAAAGTTGTGCAAGCACTTATTTAACCCGGTCCCCGCCACTTCACAGAATTAAGGATCCGAGGGTCCAAATGCCCAAATGTTTTTCCCAGACACTGAGAAGTCCTCTTCCGACCCCTGACCTGTTCGTTCCCAGGACCCCGTGATGGAAGCAACCAACAGTAGATGCTGAGTCGTGTCATGTGCACCCCGTTCTTCCTGCCAATTCCTAGTACCACATCGCCTCTAGGGAAAGAGCAGCCAGCCATTCTGTCTCTGTCCCATGACCCCACTGGGGAAAGCCCCTGCAAAAGACAGTTTTGCCCAGAAGACTTTCCCCTCTTCCTCTAGGGAACAGCCCCTCTTTCTGGTGACCTGCGCTCCATCCACTGGTCACTGACCATGCTCTCCCTGTGACCAGTGTCATGCAGGGTCCCCAGTGAGAGGGGTCTGATAACGTCAAGTGCTCATCCCGCCTGTCCCCGTAGCATCTCCTGCTGGGACCCTCAGCAGCATCCGTTCAGGACCATTGCTCACTTTGTCACCACCTCCGTTTTCCAGCCTCTCAACATCGCGTACAGTCACATCTACAGCTCCTACAGGAACTTCGTGGGACCCCCGCATTTCAAGACCATCTGCAGACTTCTGGGCTACCAGGGCATTGCTGTGGTCATGGAGGAGCTGCTGAAAATTGTCAAAAGCTTGGTGAGGAATGCGCACAGGTTGGGTGGATATGCACAAGATTTGCTTTGGCTTGTACCTGTGAAGCCCAGGCACTCTGGCTCTTCCTTTGGAAATGACCAGGGAGTCCTGGGGCCTTCCCTCTTGATAGTTCCTGTTTTATTGTTCATTTCTGGACACCTTTTGACCGGTGGCTTTGCCTTCCTTTTTATGGCCCTGAAGTCCTTGTTTTCATTGGTGTATTTTGACCTTGAGACCCTGTTCATAATCCTACCTGTGTTGCATTATCTAATTTAAAGAAGACAAATCCATGATGCATGGGTTGCCATTTTCTACTCCCATACCTGCGCCAGACATCTGTAATCAATTGCCACACTTCCTCCATTTGAGATTTCTCAACTGTTATAACAACAACACTGTACTCGCTTCAGGTGCATTCTGTATTCCTACCAGCATTCTATTTCAGCCCATAGATGGTCGTCTCACCTTCACTTAATTCTCTCCTGATGCACAGCACACAGATTTTCCTGCATAAAAGAAATAAAGTAAATGTATAACCGGGTCTGGAGTAGTGAGCGGGTTCACCTGCCAACTTCAATTTTTAGCTATGTGAAGGAAACATAGCACGAATAGTTAAGGGCGAGGAAGCCAAATTAAGAATCAGATAGGAAAATATGATAATTGATTAAGGATGTCTACCTTGGACCCGGGAGGAATGAATGTGTTATGAATTTTTCATGCTTAATGTTTCTTAATCTCCATAGATCCCGGACTGTATTTCCTTTCAGTGCTTAGTCCATTCCCAAGAGGACTCCTGGCCCAGAAATGTGTCTTCCTCAAAGTCCACATGCCCTTCGCTCCCTTTTCTGGGTTCTAAAGAGAGTGGGGGTGTGCCTGGCTTTTAAGTGAGAATCTGCGCCTCCTGTTGGGGGCTGCCCCCCGCCCCGCCCCAGCAGCAGGGCCTCAGCCCCCAGGTTGCACAGCAGTGTGCAGCAGCAGCAGGCCGTCTCATGCACCTGTGCTCCTCTTTTGCAGCTCCAGGGAACCATTCTGCAGTACGTGAAAACACTGATCGAGGTGATGCCCAAGATCTGCCGCTTGCCCCGGCATGAGTACGGCTCCCCAGGTTAGTAAGAGCCCAGCTCAGAGTGGGGCAGGGGCTCTGGCCACCCACCTTGGCCTGTTGCTTCTCTGCCCTGCCATTGAGCTCACAGAGCTCTGGCTTCGCACCCTGGCTAGAGCTTTAAACCCTTCACACCCCAGCCTGAGTAGTAGCATCACCCGTCAGTCTTCACGGCCTCAGGGCCTCTAGACCTGCTCCTGTTGGGAGGAGGGGGGGCCAGGACATAGGCATGTTTCTCTACTCTCCATTTGGCCTGGGGAGAAGGAAAAGATGGAGAGCATGATGTTTAACTCACAAGCCATGACGCGTGCTGGTCAGTGTGATCCTGCAGATCTGGCACCCGGTTCCAGTTGCACCACTGCCTTTCCCTGGCACTGTGGCAAGTCGCCTGCCCTCTCTGAACCTCATCCGAGAAGAGGCTCCGAGTGCCTAGTTTATGGAAATCTTTAGGAGTAATAAGTGTCACAGATAAAGTACAAAGCATGCTATTTAACACCTGTAAGTTAATAGTCATGTTATTGACCAATCAGGCAGTTAGTATAATAAAAACCTTTTTGGAGGGACACCTGAACCAGGGCCGCTCCATTTGTTTGTGCTTGTGTGCCCATGTTATTTTGTTCCAAACAATAATCTGAGCCAGCTTCTGGAGCTTTCTGCAATACTGAGCCCTGCTGAACACCCACCTTCGTGCGCGCAGATGGTGGGGGTGCAGTTTGCTGGCCAGGAGTCCTGTTTGGGGATGCTGCTCGGCTGGAACCTGCCACTGACCGTTCCCTTTGTCTCCAGGGATCCTGGAGTTCTTCCACCACCAGCTGAAGGACATCATCGAGTACGCAGAGCTCAAAACAGATGTGTTCCAAAGCCTGCGGGAGGTGGGCAACGCCATCCTGTTTTGCCTCCTCATAGAGCAAGCGTTGGTGAGTCCTGAACCCAGCCCAAGGGATGGGTCCTCAGACTGGCACAGTGGATGTGCGCCCTGCTGAGCAGCAGCCCTGGGATCCAGGCTCCCTCCTCCCTAGGCGCACTGGGCCTCAGTCTCCAGTGGCCCCTGCCCGGTGTCCTCTGCATGTCGATGTAGAAAGGGCCGTGCTCTGTGGGGTGGGCACTTTCAGATTGGATACGGCTGGGGGCATGAGCAGGAATTCACTGAGGAGGACTTTCCAGGCTGAGGGAGGCTCCTACAGCGTTTTAACCTTGGAGAATGGGAAACAATGGCTTTCCCCTGCGTGGGGAGTTTAAAGGTGGAGAAGACCTAACGCGTGTAAAGTGTGTATCCTAAGAGCTAAATAACGGGGAGTAGTTGTTGAGGAAAAGCCTCGTCCCTGGGGCCCTGTGGTCTCTGTTCTCTGTGGCGGGCACAGCCTGGAGCAGTGAGCGGCTGGGGAGGACGTCCCTCTGGGCCTCTCTTCCTCCACTCCTTCCCCTCCAGGGAAGGCACTGAGGGTGGCTCCCTCCTAGAAGAGGTGTAGGGTACGAGCAGTGACCAGAAGTAAGAGACAGTATGTCTGGCTTTATTCTGGAGGAGGAGATGAGCAGAAATGCATACAGTCAGTGCGGCGGCCAGTGATGCCTGCTGAGGGACCAGGCAGGGTGACGGGATCGTTGGGTGCAGTGGAGGGTTCCGGAAGGGCATGCTGTCTTTGGACATGATGGAGCTTGGTGTCCCTAAGGAGGAAGGAGTACAGAGCAGGCTGGAAGAAGCAGGACAGGGAGCCTGGGGCAGGACCCTGGGGTGCGTCTCGAGAGCCCCACAGGTAGCCAGGGGAGCTTGGGAGCCCATGAGTGAGGGGATGACTTTCCCAAAAGGCCCTGCTGGCTGCTGGGGGGAAGACCTGGCTGGACAGGGAGTGGAGGGCAGGATCCTTTGCAGCCCTGGAATCACCAGGGAGAGAGCGGAGCAAGGAAGTGGTGGCCATGGTGGAAAGAGCATTCTTTGCCCTGCTGTGTGACCCGGTGAGCCAAGGCCCTCCCTCCTGGTGTCCTCCTCCTCTTCAGTCCAGGGCCAGCTGCCCTGTCAGACCCCCTGCCCCCGCCAGAGCCCTGAAATGAGCACGGCGCCTTTTGCTCTGTGAGAAATAATTGCTCCTCTGTTGCCCCTCTAAGTGGACTCTGGAGACAGGTAATGGCTTCTCTTTATGATAACAGGTCGCTAACGCAGTTCAGTGGGCCGGAGTTACCATAGCAACACCTTCCGCTGTCTCAGGGATAAATAGGAAGAACAGCCCAAGGCCTCCGGGTCACCGGAAGGTGGAGGTGGGAAGGGCAGGTCCCCTGCATAGCTCCTTTCCTGAGGTGCTGTGACCAAGAGTGGCACTTCCATCCGGGAGGCCTTGAGCGAGGGCTGCAAGGAAGGGAAAAACCCTTCTGCATGGTCACTCCCAAACAGTGTCCCTGAGGACAGCAGGCACCCATGATCAAAGACTTCCAGGCAGAGAAAGACCCCACAGCATCGCTATCCAGCCTTCTTATAAGCAAGAAAGTGGAGAACCAGAAAGGGGAGCTACCGCCAGGTGTCACATAGCAGAGCCAGGGACGGAAAGCAGAGGGTTCCAGTGCCCAGTCCAGGTCCTGGTGTCCAGGCCGGGTGGGCTGGCAGAGCAAGAATCGGGGCTCGCCAGAGCTGTGTGCCCCACTTTCTGCGTTAGCCGCTGGGGAGATCTCCAGCAGGGGCTGTGCCTGCCGAGTTTAGAGTGGGACATGAGCTTTCTGTTTTGTTTTTATTTAGGAAGCCAGAATTAAATATGAATGATTGTTTTTTATTACCAAAGAGCACAAACTGAAACCTGCAGCAGGCAGAGAAGCCTAATGGGCACCCACCCAGGGCATCTGGGTAGCATGTGGGGTGTCCACTCTTCTGGGAGATGGAAGCAGTTACAAAGCAGGACTGGGGTGGGCCACTTCACCTGTCGTCTGTGGGGCTCTGGGTTTCATCTTCTTTTTATCACTTTCAAGAAAGAAAAGAAAAAGTCATTTTTCAAATAGTAACAAGACATGGCAAGAGACATAATGTTGAGTGAAAAAAAAGCAAATGCCTAGACAAAACACATTGTGATGTCTTCCATGTAAAAGGAAACTCTGAAAATAACACTGCATTGAGGAAAAAATTAGGAGAAACGCACAGCAAGTCGTCAGTCATTTTCTCTGGGTACCAAATGGAACACCAGGGTTAGAGGTCAGCAGAGGCTTTGGCCTGATGCAGAAGGTGTCAGTGTCCAAGAGGAAGGTACGTTCATGTGTTAACCTGAACATTAATGTTAACAGTCATGGAACATAGGGGCTTTCAAAAACCGGGATTCTGAAACACGCAAAGCCTTGACCGTTTTCTGCCTTTTTTCTATAGTTTCAGCATTCTCTCATGCCACAACTACTTTGTCCCATTCTCAATTTAATCATTGTCTTTAAAAGATGTTAGACATAGTCCTCTAATTTATAGACAAGGAAATTATGAAGGAATTGATCACTGGGATGAAAGTATACTTTCTTCTTTAAGTTGTGGGCTTAGAAACATTCCTGAGTGCAGCATGCAGCATTAGTAACAAGCTCCTGTTCCTTCGGTGGCGGGGTGGGGAGGGGATTGGTGTCTGCAGGTAGCCCGGCGTGTGTACCTTGATCACGGCACACGCCCTGTGACGCTCCAGATCTGCCAACACCACACTTACAGTGCTGGGTTATTCACGTTACTGCGCAGACTCCCCAAATAACCCTGATGCTGACTTCCACCCCTGGAGGTTGGTGCCGTTCATCCCTGGAATTCGTAGAAGCGGCATTTGTCAGTCTGGCTTCCCTGTCCTGTCTGGCTTCTGTCATTCAGCGCTGTCTCTGCAGCTCCTCCATATTATGTGTGACTTGTGTTGCTGCAAAGTGGCGGTGTAGGAACGGGCTCCCTGAGTCATAGGTTTTATTGGGATGGGCATTTGGGTTGTTTCCAGCTGAGTGCTGTTAGGATCAGACGGTAATGAATACCCTTGCATGTGTCCTCTGGTGAATATGTGGTCTCTTTTTTTTTAGGGGGACACAGAGTACTTTAGCTTCAGTGGATATTACTAAGCAGTTTTACAAATCAGCTGTGCCAGTGTAAATGCCCCCTGAGCAAAGTGGGACAGTTTTCCTTGTCTTCCATCTTCGTGAACAATCAAGTCATCGTGTAAAACGAAGCCTTTCTAGGGCTGTGTCTTGATACCTCATTTTGGTTTTAATTTCCCTGATGGTTCTGAGTCCCTCTCCATGTGGCGCTGGCCCCCTGGACTGCCTCTTTTGTAAAGTGCTATTCAGTTTCCACCCGAGTTTTCAGTGGGGTTATTTATTGCTTTGTGGGATTATTCATATATTATCCATGTACATTATACATTATTGTAGCTCATCTTTTGAGGAGCGGTAGTCCTTACGATTAGTGTAGATTATGTTTTCTTCTTTTTCTGTGGTTCTTTTTGTGACTCAAATCTTCCGTAAATGCCTGAAGACATACTACCTCCTAAAAGTTTCAGAGTTTAACCTTTGGAGACCAAACAGATCTTGCCATTATACACCTGGAATTGATGGTTATATTTAATGGGAGAGTGAAATCCAATTCCCTTTCTTTCCACCTATAGGGTTAGTGCTGTGTTGATCATGAAAAAGCCATAAGTGGTTTGGTCATACTGGGCTCTCAAACGTTGGATTTAAACTGAAATGGATCGGTATTTGTTAAGTATCTGTTTATGTGTGTCATTTTGTAAAAAAAAAAATTCTTATGAGCGTCTCATGTTTTCTTGACGCCCCCTAATTTGGGAAATCATGTCGTGGTCATTAGAGATGCAGGAATCACAGTTTTGTTTGATCCTATGGTTTCTAAAATCAGGTCGTTGTAGTTACGCGGATACACACCAGAGGGCGCTGTTCACACATGTGTGTGATGAGGACCTGGCCTCGGGGAAGACAGCCTTTCCAGCTCTTTTTGAGGGCTGCCCACCCACGACGTCGGTGCATGCTCCCCCTGTGTCCCTGTTGCTTTTTTTTTTTTTAACCTCCATGTGGTGGAGGGAGGCACAGTAACACTACGGTCAGTCATTTGAGAATATTGCCTCCCTTTCAGGAGGCCAGGAGAGTCTGAACCCAAACTCAGTAATTCATGCTTTGGTCAGATCAGTAAAAGGATCCTGACAGACAGGGCAGGTTAGCTCAGCCTCTGTCAGTGCCACCCATGCTAGGGCCTGACAATCCTTTCTTGCCCTGGCTGCCGTCAAATTGAGCGTTATTTCTAGATTGTACCACTAGATGGCAGTAGAGCCCCTTTCGCAGATGTGACAACCAACAGTGCCTCCAGAGAGAACTCTTGGGAGGACAAAACCTTCCTCTGCTGAGACCTGATAATGTGGTCCAGCTTCACATAGGGAAGATGGAAACCCAAGGCCCTGAGAAGGCCCTGATTTTTTTCAGGGTTACAGGTATGGCAGGAGTTGGGATAAGGATCAGAGAGGACCTGGGACCCTATAGCCCTAAGGGAACATACTCAGATATGCACAGATGCATAGATGAATGAGCCCTTCAGGTCCAGCCCCAGGTGTGACCGACATCCACCATGTCGACCCTTCTAATTTGCTCATAGACTGGAATAAATATATTGACAGAAAACTCAGGGAGACAGAAAACATTGCCAGGCTAAGATAACCACTGTCCACTTTCCACAGGATCTTCTTCCAGATGCTTTTGTGTTCTGACATAGACATTAACTTTCGTCATGAGCTCTGCCTTTTGTAAACGAATTAGTTATAGAAGTCCTGTTCAGGGAACTTAGCTGAGTGCGATCGGGGCAGGAGAAAGGGGCTGCTCCCTTTCTGTGTTATATTCTGAGCTACTGTTTGAATGCATTGCACGGTTTGTCACTTCTTCCTTATAAGGAAATACTTGTGCACTTAAATGTGTATAATCCGGGGTATGA